TCAGAAGTTTAGAAGGAACATTGTATTGAGATGTCTGAAATGCAAAAAGTCTGAAAATGTCTGAAAGTCTGAAATGCAAGTGAAATATGTATTATATTCTCTCCTCCTTCATACATACCTTTACACCAGGGGTTGAACAGCATGTAAATGTCATTGCAAGGGTTGCATGATGAAGTGGCCTTGCCCTTTGGGCCGCAAGTCACAATGGTGAGGCTGTATCGTCCAATACAAGCAGTTGGAAGGGAGTACACACACAGTTTGATCCGGTTTTGTACCCGTTCGACAATCTTAGCCTCCCAACGACATTTCTTGAATTCATCCACTAATGGCACAATCACCAGAGTGCCATTGCAAATTGATGGAACATTACCTGTGAAATAAAAACAACAAGAAATAACCAGGGTTATCATCATAATCTAAAACTATAAAAAAAAAATATATATATATATATATATATATACACGTTACTTAAAATAAAATATACATTAACTATAATATATATATATATATAAAAAAATTTGTTTTAAGTATAAAAATAAAATATAAAAAAAACTTTCAGTTTATTTCAGTTAGTTGCCAAGGCAGCATTTACATTTTATTTTTATTTTTTTTAGTTTATAAAGTAATAAAATAACTAAAAAAGTAAATACAAATTAATTTAAAAAATAACAAAAACAAGAGAATTACTAAAACTTTAAAATGAAAATTAAAACAGAAAATACAAAACTAATTCAAAATAGTATATTAATGATACTAAAATAACACTGGAAATAACAGTGATGGTCTTAGAATCACATCATCGCAAGACTGATCGAAAGGACTTAACCGACCAAGTCTCAGCTCCAGGTGAAGTTGGTCACATTTTGGATTGAATGGCCGGGAAAGCTCAATCCACATCTGGAAACACTGTCCTCTACGGACAATGAGATGATCACTGCGGAAACAACTGGTGTGATGCTCCTGATGATTCTGACACTTCCAGGATTTCATCTGGTCTACACAACGAACCTGCAGAACCAAATCTGAGAAAAACCAAGCAGAGGAAATCAATTAGGAGCTTTAATGAACAAATTTCACAAAATGCAGCTCAGGCCAAAGATCTACAACTCTTACCTTCGCAGGTGTGCACGACCTGGCAGTCATCCGCACAGTCCTTGAGGACAACTTCCTTGCAGTCATAATCACAGCGTGGCTTCACATAGTCGCAAGGGATGGTGCAAGGGTTGTTGCATGGGTTGACACAAGGATTCACAAAAGGAATCACGCAAGGATTGACTACAGGCTTCACGCAAGGATTGATGACAGGTTTCACGCAGGGATTCACACAAGGATTGACGACAGGTTTCACGCAAGGGTTACTGTAAACCGGCACACAGCCAGACCCGCTCCAGAAACTGTCAGACTCCAGTTTAATGCCTGGGAAACGGCCGATGTTGCAGAAGTTGTTGTACAGGCCATACTTTACGAGAGACATGCTGTGAGGTGCAAAATAGAAAGAAT